AAACATTTTAGATTAAAACTTCATTGAAAGATTTTTCTCGAAAAATACAGAACGAAAATATTTGCTTCAAATGAGTAAAATGATCATAACATTGTATTACATTTATACATTTTGAAGTATTCTATTTATAGATGATAGTTTTAATCTTCCTCTACAAAATTACATATTTTGATAAATTAATTATGTATAGGTTTGTCATAGATATCATCAATTTACTGATACGATCTCAAACTTTTGAATCACCTATGATTCTTATTTGAACTTTTTTCAATGTTTGAGATAATGTTCTAATTTGTAATAAACGTTTTTCACTTGATGATTCTTCAATTATTTGTTGTATTTCTTCCGAAGTTTTCACTGATTGATCATCAATATAAAGTTTGTCTATTTCACTAGATTCATATCCGATTTACTAAATTCTTTTTCTATTAAATCAGAATATTTATTTATTTGTTGTGTAACATTTTCGCGTTGATCTTGTTGGTTATAATCTTTAATATTTTGTTCTTCAGCAAAATCTAATTCCATAAATAATCATTTTTGATTATCAGACAAATAAGGTAGAAGAAGTTGAGGTTCAAGTATTGAAGCATATGGATAGAATTGTTCAATAACATATGTTTGATCTTTTTTTATTTCTTGTTGTTTATAAAAATCATCTAGATTAATTAATAATTGAAGAGAATCTTCATCAGTAGATATTTTCAATTTTGAAGAATCAATTTGAGTTTTTCACTAAAATATTTATATAAAAAATAATTCTAAAAAGAAATAAGAGAAAATGATTCATTTTTATTTTACAGATAATCTTGTTTATGCTGTTCACTAATGTTTCATTGTAATTCTTTAGTTTCGAATAATTCATTATATGCATCTAAATCAAAATCTTCATCTATTGCCGAATGAAATTTATGTTGATTTGGATCTTCTTGTTCTTGTTCTTCATCAATTATTTCTGAAACTATTCGATATGTTTCATTTGTTTGTGAGAATAAATATCTTTTATACCATATATCACTTAAGAGTTTTAAATCACGTAAAAATTTCATATCATAATTATTAAAATCGACTAGAAATAGAAGTTTTTTGTTTTTTTTAACTAAATAAATTAATCCTATTTATTATATTTACATTCTAATTTTAATGCTTTGAGTGCATTGAATGTATTTATTGGATGTAAATGTATATAGTTTTTAATTATTGTCATCATATCAATGATTCGTTTGAGACGATCAAGTTTAAGAACATGGTTAAGTAATTGAGAAAGATCAGTTGCTGTTATACATAATTTTTTTTCTAAATTATTTTGTACATGATGTTTTTTTACCAAGACATTTTCTTGTGATTTAGAAATTTCCATAAATTTGTTTATCTAAATAAGAAGTGATTATAAGGCTTCATTGAATTATTTCTTGGTTTATGAATTCCAATCATAAACACTAGACAATTTACAGAGACTGGGTGCATATACTTTCTTCTAATAAGCCTGATACTTTTTCATTATTCTGTAAATATGCAACCATAGAGCTCATTCGACAGTCTCACCAGAACTTACAAAACGAAACAAGGGTTTTTATAATATAGCCTTCTTTTCAAACTCTTCAGTAGCACTAAATCAAAAACCTGATTGTACAAGTTTGTAGATATTGATGTGATGCATCTAATGATAAGCTTTATTGTCAATAGAAATTTCTCAAAGTTTGAACCAGAACAAACCTATCTTGATTGAGATATGAGTTTTAGTATGATAATGTCATATTTCTGAAATACAGTCCAAACGAGGCGTTCCTTTAAAATGTGAATAACTGAACCAGGAAGCGTTCACTCTGGCTCAAATGTTAAAGAATTTCTAGTAATTATATGGTATGTCTATGAAGAAAACATTAGCTTAAAATTTCGCTTATTCAGATTCTCAGTGATCCTTTGTTCGTAGTTCAACCACTATCCAACGTCGATAGTTTCAAACAATAGAAGCAGTTTGATAGTTGGATATGTACTCGCGTGATATTTACTTGAGTTATACCATATTATCTTTTGGCAATTACAAGATAAATAATATCTGACAAATATGACACACTCATAATTAATAACTAATAGAGTAAAATGATTCAATATTTTACTGAAAAATAAATATAGCAAATGAGCATATTTATATTTACATTAAGGCAGAATATTGTTTTGGCATAAGATTTAATTTCATTAGGCTTAGCTAATTTACTAACAATTAATAGAACCATAAGATCTTCTAATGCTATCATGCCATAACGAATAAGTAATAATTGAAAATCTGTATGAAATAAAATTTGATATTGTTGAAAATATTTCATTAATGGTTTTTCAGCAATTGAACCATTTTCTTTAATTAATAATGATATATTATATGTTATATGTCGTATAAGATCTAATGAACACCCACACCCACACCCTTGTTCAACTAATAAATGTAATTGATTTCGTGGTATTTTAGTTTGTATATAATTATGACGTAATGAACGTAAATTTGGTAATAATTCATTGTTTATATTTTTATCTATGATTAATAATTCTTGATTACTTTCAATTAGAGATTTATATTGTTTAACAATACTATTATATGTTAAACGAGATAATATTTGTGTTGGTTTAGAAAATGATTGTATATTTTCATCTATTTTTAAAAGAGCATGATCAACTTTTCGTTGAACTTTTTCTTTTACTATTTTAACAGTTTTTATTTGATCATTTAATATATTTGTTTGAATAGCTTGACGTCGATGCATATTTTGATTAAGTGCTAATTCAAATTGTATATTACTTAATTATTTATGATCAAGTATATTAATTAAAAATTGTTCTTGAATGACAGTTTTATATTCACTTGATTGATTTTTAAGTATATCTTTTTAAAGATACTAAATTAAAATCAACAATATACATGTTTTTTTTTCAATTTATTTAATAGAAAATTATTTAGATCTTGTAGAAAAAATCTTTAACTGACTGCATTATTTGTTGAATACTAAGAAAACCATGATGTAGAATATGCTAATAAATAATATTAAATTTTTCATTTTCAATATTTGTTTGATATTGATTTAAAATTTCTCTTGTATGAATTTCATCAATATAACCTTCTTTTTGAATTAATTTAATCATCATATAAATAAGAAATATAGCTTGAGCTTCAGATGCAGTTATATTAGCACAAGAAATTGTGAAATAATTTTTGAACGACGTAATTCATTGACTATATCTCTG